GGTTTGTCCAAAGCAGTACAACGAAGAAACGAAGCCAATCGTTTCCATGAATATTGTGACCAATAGAAGATTATTAGCTATGCAAGATAGCATACTGTTGTTGTTCGCGCTTCTGTGTCTGCTCAGAGCATTCATCGATTGCATTAAAGAATTCATAGAATTATCCACATCTTTCATCATTTCTGTAAAATAAAATTTTATATCCTGCTAGATATTTCGTCAAATTTTCCATGTGAAAGTGTTACACGCTAAATATATATATCTGAAGAAAACGCTATTATCATGCTATAAATTAAAAATTCTCAAAATAAATTTTTATTCATATTAAAAAATATATATAGGGTGCTTCATGTTTCACAAAAGAATTTCAGAAAAATTTCAGGACCAAGTTTTTCACGACAGGTGAATGGAATACTTAATATAATTACATATAATTAAAATTGCAATAACCTGGCTTTGAACGAGACAAGGGAAACTCTTGAGAATCTTCGGGGTTCGATTCTTCGTTGCCATTCCACTCCCCTTGCGACGCGCTCGTGTCTGACAAGCTCTGCCCCTTTCCACTGTGATCTTCACCAGTGTGAAGCTCCAGTAGTTTGGTCATCCAGTCCATTAGGCGCGATAAAATCCTCACGTGGCTCTGCCAAGCTTCGTTCAGAGTGTCTTTGAATCCTTGCGCGAAGAATTTTTCGTAATCGACAGCAGATTCGTGCATTTTGTTAATTGCTCCGAATGTCCGCAGAAGTACTCCCTTTTTGTACGTTTCTAAGGCTTTCGAGACTTCCCTTCGTCTGATTGAAAATAAGGTCAAGTTGAACTTGAACACCACCTATTTTGCTATATGATACGTTTTGGTCTTCTAGATTAGTGCTAGGATTCTTCCAAAAATTCGAGAACAATTATGAATAACAGACGTAGGTATAACAATATTTTATACAATCTGCAATGCTTAGAAGCTTCATAAAAGTATCAAAGTTCTTCTGAAGCTTTTTCATAAAAGTTAAGATTCTCAATTAAGTCAAACTTAAAACTATCGTGCACCAAGTTTGCTGTATGACACTTTCCAAATTACTTTAGATTAGTGTTAGAATTCTTTAAAAAATTCAAGAAAAATTGCAAATAACAGACGTAGGTACTACAATTTTTTTTTTTACAATTTGAAATGCTCGGAAGCTTCGCAAAAGATTCAAAATTCTTCCGAAGCTTCTTTATAAAAATTATAGGTCCGAACCTATTTAAATAGACTTAAGCCAAATCAAACATGCACCTATATTGCTATATAATATTTTTTAGGCTGCTGGATAATATAATTCCTAGCAGATTAGTGTTAAAATTCCTTTAAACAATTGAACAAAAATTGTAAACATGACACAGATACTAATATCTTCGTTTTCCCAAGTTATTATACTTAGA